AAGTACACGGAAAATTAAAACTTTTTCTCTTCAATTTGTTTCAGTACAACCACTACCCCCACAGAATAAAAAAAAATACAGTACAATTATCCTGTTTTATTAAAAAAATGTCTTAGAAGGGTTTATATACGGTAACTTTTCTACCTCACAGCCCTCCCCTACACCCTCCCCCTCACAAAAACTTAGAATGTTCTATTAGTCAGCACGTTGTGGCTTCAGTTGGCCAGATAATAGGTTGGCACGGGGGCATACCGTGTTTTGATTCCCAGCTAATGCGACTTTTTTGGACAAGAACCTCTGTAAATTTTCACATGTGCCTTTTTACCTCACAGTGTTCCTTGGGGAGAAGCCTTGCGGTGCCTACAAGTAGTGCTCTTATAAGAAGCTGGACGTCTAGCACTGTAATTTAGAAACAAAAATTGTTATAAGGATACTTTATCGTAGGGTTAATATGAATTACTAACTCTAAGAGCCCCTCCCACTCCTCTCTACAATGAACTTATAGTTTTTCGTGAGATGACTTTGTAATAGGAATAAGAAAGGCTCATATCTTTTTTTTCCAGAAACTAGTTTTCTTAGTCACTGAAGTAGCATTTTTTTCTTGTATTCGAAAAGTAAAATTTTAAACTTCCAACTTTATTATCTCAAAAACCAATGTGGTAGGTATATTTTTTAATAATTTATTCTGAAAACGAAAAATTTAATCTATAACATACTTTTTTTTATAAAAACCGAAGTAAAAATTGGTAGGTGATCGACTACCTTAAAATACTAGACAATGAGCCAAATTACAAGAAACGACTAATTTCTGAAATGCTCAGTCGACAATAATATAAATCAGAAAGAGGACCTATACACATTGAGTCACACTTATAAAAGTTTATTCAAAAATATACGTTACTGACCATATTTATTAATTTGATACATTGACCTGAGGATTATCTGTGTAAATATATGTGCTGTGCTATAAATTGACAACTTCGCGTAATGTGGATGTTTTGCTTGTTTGACTTGCGTGCAAACAAATATCGTTACGTTAAATCATTTCCTTCAGCATTTGTAATAAAGGTAATTGGAGCGCTTGCGTTTATATCTGTTATTTGTTGGTTTTTGTACTGATTTGCTGTTAAATTTTTTAATAAAGCCTGAAGAGGTCGACAATCTAGTCGACAAATAGTCGCCGTATATAAGAAACGTGTTGTGTGTTTTTTATTTTAAAGTTTGTCTCAAAAGATCAACCAAAAAATTACTGAAGTATATTAATATCGAGGGCGAGAAACATCATAACGACATTATTTTAAGGTTAAGTGAAAAATTACATACCTGTTTTGTTTGACAAATCGTATTCCGATTCCGAAAATAATTGTTCACTTCCTTAGGAATCGTCAATGTCACGCTCGTCGCCGCTTGTTCCTCTTCCGGTGTCTCTTCGTCTTTGTTGTCATTGTCCGCTTAGGCTAGTTTTTTCTGAAGTCTCTTTGGAGTCAGCCGCGAGGCCCGCTTGTTTTGCGTCGCATTTTGGCATTTTTTGTCACTTTTTATTCAAGACACTCGTAGTGGACTTACTTCAATCACACAAAAAAAGAGAATAAGGAGTAACGACGGTAGCAGCAGCAGGGAGTTCTTCGATATATACGCACTAGCTTTCGAGATTTACGGTCATAATATACCTTTGAACATTAAAAAGTTAACTTTCTGTTACGTTTTCATCATAAGGTTGGTGGTGTGACGGTAAATCTCAAACCGTATTGCGTATGAGGTCCCTACGATCAGCAAACTCAGCATAGATGGCGTGCTGTAGCTAAAAAAAAATGGCGTCACTGACACACTGTGGCTATAAGTGACGATGGTATACGGTAATGTGGACTTACTTATGTGACAACATATCCGTCACGCTGACGTCAGGAGATCATGAATACTACATTTGTGTCAATGTAACGCCATTTTTCTCTTAGCTACAGTACGCCATCTATGCTGAGTTTGCGGACCGTAGGGACCTTATATCGAAGCACGCAATTAGACCCCAGGGGTTCTATCGGGGTATTCGAGGTATCGAGAGTGAGATGAAACGTGACGTAACCATAACCTATTTTGAATGCAGTTTAAGGTGATTGACGTCTTGATACCACTACACTTTTTCGATATATTGCGATGTATCGCATATCCTAATTGAACCTCAGCATAGAGTAGACGAGGCCAGCGCTGGCTTGGCGGCTGCGGAGCTAAACCCCACCTTCAGAACTTTTCAACTATTCGCTATGCGCCTGTCATTTGGCGCTACTTGTCACTTTAACACATTCTTATATGAATGTATAAATCTTTTGTCCACGGCGGCCGCTTCAACTATTTTCCTCTATAAGATTTTACATGGGAAATTAATGAAAATAAGGACAGCTCCGTAGATGTGCATAGCAAATACGCTATACACTTTAAACTTCTGCGGCATCCAAGGGGGAAGGGGGTATTTACAATTTATAATATCTTCGAACGAGGAGATGAAATAGAATCTAGTATGCTCTTTTGAGACGATATTGTGCCGTATGTTCAAACTCTGCAACTAGATATTAATAGGAAAGTGGTTCGATAAAAAAAAATTAAAAAATAAAACATCCAAAAATGACAAGGAAGCTAAATTGAGTATTTTTGTAGTTAACTGAAAATTTTCAGATTTTGATAAAATATAAATAATTGTTGTTAAACACAGTTTTAAATATACTTCAGAATATTCTTACAGTTAATAGAAAATATTTTTAACTTCAATGTTTTAAATTTATGGTACAATCGTACTATAAATATTTTTAATCTTCATAATATAATGTACCATATATTTTTGATAATAATATTTAAAAAATCGCAAAAAAAATGTTTAACTTCTCTTACATTATAAAAACTAAATCTTTTAATAATAAATGTTTTAGTTTCTGCGGGACAACGTGAGCCACTTTTTAAGTACAAGTGATGACAAAAATTGCAATATCGACAGCCTTTTAAATCTGAAACGACAACTGGCTACAAAAACGTCGCAACTCGAAGAAATGTACGAAAAATTAGGATCGTTGCAAGGCTTTGCCGAACACTGTGCCTCAAGTTTATTGCACCGTTTAATTTACCGATTGATTCGGTTGTCTGAATCCACTGACACAAAAATTGCAATCAAGGCAGCTAAGTGCTTAGGAGTTCTTGGGCCTGCTGATCTTAGCACCATGATTCTCCATCCACAGGAAAGTCAGCGACGTGAAACTTTTGACAAAGCAGATATACTAACTCATAATGTTTGCAATCTGCTGACAGAATTCATAGTAAGTAGTGATATCGAAGTTCGTACTGCAAGTAGTGAAGCGCTCTATGCTGTTCTGAAATCACCTTGGGGAATTCGACTACTTTCTGACATGGAATTTGAAAGCACCACTCACTTCAATCAGTTATTCAAAGATTTTCTGTATCCCTTTAGATCATCGCATGAATCAACTTCAAGGTAAAACATTTAACTAATCAATAACAGAATTATCAAAAGATACTACTGATATTAATAAGATATTGCTAATATCCTTATATTATACGAAATTCGTACTTGAGTCCATACAGTTATAAAAATTAGTGATACGAGTATAGGTTTTACTATGCATTCAAAATAATAATTTTCTTATATTTATCAGTAATGCAGCAAGCTTCAAAATTGACGTAGAAAAATTTGAGAGTACTTTTGATCCACAAAATCCGCACTGGTCTAAATCATCGAGCGGCGATTACACCTCCTGGGTTGCCTCTATCACATCAGCAGTAGCCAACTGTCTTAATGGATTTTACGGCACAAGTCTTATTTCGCTCTTTCATTTGAGCGTACAGTTTTGTGAGGCAACTTTGCCTCGTCTTATCAGCCTTCTAATTGACACGTACCCTAATTTATCAACTAATATTTGTCAATGCGTGAATCGTCTGTTTAATTATCACTTTAATGTACGTGATGTTGGACAAGCCGTTGTAGGTGTATCACATGTCAGTAAACACGAGACAGTACTTTTTTATTTTATTACTACACCAATATGCATGAAATGTACAAATAGTTTAATGTTTTTGCTTTATGCTTGACATTTTTTAGAAACAGTTGAACGAATCGTGCGATGCTATTCGTTGCATGCTGGATGTAGTAAATCACTTACGAATCCAATCAAATGAGCAAGTACACTTGGACTTTGACTATTTGCCAATAGCTATGGCTGCTCAGTTCAGTTCAGCTTATTTTTCTTCGATTTTGTACGCTGAGCTGTGGTGCCGATCAAACTTGAAAGTTGTGCGTGACTTTGACAGCATACCGATTATTGATCAGGTTTATGAGAAAGACAACAAACTTGGAAAAATTGTGCAGGATATACTCAAAGAGGCTTATATTAAAATTGGTGATCCAGATTCAGTTTATGGTTGTGGTTCCTCGCATTTACAAAATCGCAAGTCCAGAATACCGTATTACACGAATTTTCAGAAATTAGACAAGGTTTTACTTTCACACGATATAGAGTTAAGCAATGGAAATCTTCCCTTTAGAGGTACTTTCATTCATAGTAAATTTTTCAGATTTCAAATACATAGATATCTTTTAGATTTAATTTTCATCTATATATTCATTTACTGATTATTTGTATTTGTAGGAATGATCAATGCTTTAAGAAAGTCAAGTCTATACTATTTAGCTAAACATTTTTCAACTAGTACGCCGATGGAAGTAGATTCAGTGGACGATTTATGTTACGATACTTTATGGCGATTGGGTGACTGGAATCAAATTTCAAGTTTCAGAATGCCTCAGTCGACAAAGAAAATCCATGATTTTTCTGTTTATCATTACGAAGCTTTAAAAAGTCTACATGAAAATGATAAAAGTACATTACAAAAGTGCCTTGAACAAGCTCACCTCTGCGTCATTAAAGAACTATCCAGTATTAGTCTAGGTAAGTCACCACTCGAGGTAAAGGGTTACAGTAATTTTTACATAAATTTGCCATTTTTATTGTGTCTCACAAAAAATATAGAGAAATTAAACATTTCAATAAATTCTTGACGACCAAATAAATTTCTATCTGAATATTTTTACTCTGGTATAATGATTAATAAATAATAGATCAGAAGACACATTTTTTTGTATAATTGTTACTTAAAGACATGGTCCAGTTATTAAAAATAATAATAGAATTTAATTTAAACTAGGGATATCAAAGCTCAGACTGTCTTGAATCCATAGTTTTTTTCAACGAGTGTTATAATATTTATCACGAGAAATATTACGACAAAATAAGCGTAGTTAAGACATGTTTTTATAAAGTAGCTACAAAACCATCAGTAAATACTATCCTATTATTTATCTTAAAAAAACGATGGGTCACATGATGAAGCCTGTTTATTCGTCGTGTGATTGGCTGAGACTGATCAAGCGCGGGTAGATTTAAATATGAGATTTTGAAAAATTAGTGAAAAGTCATTTAAATTTGTAAGTTGATAAATATTACAATATTATGTGTTATGACAAAGATATAACTATTGTATTTTTCTTTAAAAATACAAAAAATAAATGTTTGATTAGATTTTGGGGGTTGGCGCGCGGAGCGCGCATGGGGTGCAGCCCCTTAGTGTTAGAAATAATACACGTTAACGAAATTGCAGGCATCCATAAAAAAATGATTAGGCATTACTGTGAAAAGTTTAAACCAGTGTTATAATACTATATCAAGAGTTGTTAATAAAATACTACCATAAAGAGGCTAAATTTAATAATTACGTCAACATTGAATATTCGCATCTCGCATCTCGCAGAGACACATACCTACTAATAATGGGAGCGAGATTTTAAACTCGACAGCTTTATCAGTAATGCATATAAAATTAAAGTTTGACCGCTTGTAGCTCAAAAACTACACGGGATCACTCTGAAATAACTCTTAAATTTTAATGCAATGTAGTTAGTGATAAGATAAGTCCTTACCTCGAGTTTTATTTTAATCTGACACAAATCGATTGTAGCACCAACTCCCTTAATTTCGGTGATCGACAAAACTGCAACTCTAAAGTTACGGCCACCATGTCGGATGTATGAAAAAAATGCTCCACCTCGATATAGGAGCTGATTCACCTGCAAGCAGACATTGCGAGCATAGATACTGCATATGCTAGACTGTTGAATCGGCAAACGTATGGGTGTTTGCTCTATGCAGTAATTTGAAATAGCGCAGCTTTAAGGGGTAAATATATCGATACTAACAAAAATACACAGCCTCTTATGAACAATGATTTGTTATAAGTGTTTATTTTACCAACAATGTATCTTTAACAAGCGACGTAATTTATTTAGGTGTTAAGTATACTTAAGAGCTTAATGAAGCACTTAACAACTTTTGGTACATTTAAAACAGAAGAACGAAACTTTTACATCAATAATCAAAACTTATTTCGTGAGAGCGTCGCTCATTCGTTAAAGCTATACAACTTCTTATTGTCACTGTAATAACCGTTGGTCAGCTTAACATAGGAGAATTAAAAAAAGCTTGCTAACAATTCAAGTAATAACAATGAACTTATAAATTAACGTCAATAAATCATGATATTCTATAGTTTTTTAAATACAGAATTATTGTAAGTACTGTTAGTATTATCATTTTTTTCAGTTAAAAATAATGTAGTCCCACGCGGATATGTGTTTTTTTAAAAACGTGTGTAGTCAAAAAAGATATAAGAAACTATTTCACATCCACGTGACAGAAATAAATTTGGTTCCTGGGTCACGGAAATAACTTTCATAAAGCGATAATTCAAAGGGATTGAACCACCATTTTTTTTCTTCAATCCTAAAAAATGAGGTAATAATGTAATGCTAATTTAACATTTATTATTATTAATGTTAAAAAATTAGAGCTGAAAGACTGCTTCATTCATTCGAGTAGGGTATTTTCATTTATCTCCATTTTTACCAGTGTGAAATAATGCTATAAAATAGACATCCTAATTATTTGCTAAAAAATCACCACCATTTTATTCATTGCACACTCTTCTGAAAAACCGCTAATACATCACACGAATAACAATAATACGCAAAAAATCGATTTCTCGAGTATTCACACGCAGCCGCATCGACTACATTTTCGTAATCGCGCACGAAGTATTATTTAACCATCAATTATTCCGGGCACTGCGTAGCAAACCGCCTTGAGCCTTGACACATAAAAACGCGATTAACCACGCCACCTGCGATGAATATCAAGCGATCCCTCGATGTTATTACACATGCCGTGCACACTCGATAAAATTCGCGTCCACGCGCGTAATCAATTATGTGTCTGCGTCCTGGTAAATTGTGACAATAATAATAAAATCTCGCCACACGTATTTTCCTACTGTATACTAATCAACGTGTAAGAGAAGTTCGAAAATTGCCCTGTTATCGGCCCCACATTAAATTGACCGGAGGAAATTATTCGCAAACGCGATTTTTTCGCTCACAACTGTTGCTTCGGTAGCGTATCAATCGAATAATTACAGGCACCACGCCCACAGCCATGCACGGGTGCCTGTACATTTGATGTATGGGAAAACGATTTGGTGCGCGTTATGATGTTATTAAAGACAATGACTGGCTTTTTTAGGCGTGTCAAACGTGCCTGTTCGTTTCATTAATTTTTTTTTCTTTGACACACACACATATCATACGAAAGTGGTACAAAAAAATTATTTCAAGGGTCCTACTATTTTATTAGTTGTATCATACCAATTAGTAATTAATAGTGAAAATGTTTATTTGGTTGTTCCATGGAATTACGAAAATGCATCTGACCCTAAAGCGATTATACTCCTCCTCACAACTGCGGCAGGTTTCATCCTCTCCCGTTAACGATGTTAATTTTGAGCAGAATTAGCTCTCAAGCTCCACCGCTCCATTGACGCGTGCTATTGTGCGCCACGAAAATTTCGGAAATTCAATTTAGAGCTGTGTACTGCGCACTACGTCACGGCCTCTCGTGAAAGTTCGAGCAGTGCTATTGTTCCCTCATTATAATCGACACCGATGAAATAGGGGGCGTGTTATTTAAAAAAATTTTCGCCAAACAAGTGACGAAAAGCTTTTTCAAATTTTTTTAGCTNTATAAATTAACGTCAATAAATCATGATATTCTATAGTTTTTTAAATACAGAAAAATAAAATATATTGAATAAATAAATGTCTGCTTTCTTACTTATGCTGTAAGTATTGTTACATTTGATATGTATCATTTCTGAAATTGATCTTTTAGGATTATTAGATTTTTTTGCATGATTTTGGTACAAAGTAACTGTAAATTTGAGGTCCTAAGTTGTCTGTAGTATTTATGGTAAAAATTACTGTGACCTTTAAATTATAAATTGATATGGAATTCAGTTAAATTTTTCTAATCCATTAACAATAGAACTAACATGTTTTGTTTATTTCACTGCTTAAATTGTATCCATTCAAGAAAGTTGCAAAGCTATTTATCCAAAACTTACTCAACTACAAATGCTTAGAGAAATTCAAGAATATAGTACTACAAATACGGACGATATTGAAATTCTACTTGCTGATTGGAAAAAACATAAGTACATTTACAACAATGATTTTCAGTACATTGAACCTATTCTGTCTCAAAGGGCCGTAATATTTGAAATGCATAACTTTTCAAGTAACAACGTAATTGTTAAAAATGCTCTTATTAACACTCGATTAGATACAGCTCGATTAGCACAGCAACAAGGAAGTCTTAACACAGCTGCACGCGCTTTAGGTAAGTAATAGTTCTAAAGGGAAAGGTGGTGCAAAATAATCCTGGCGAGGGAAAAACTCTTTTTTAATATCGGTTAAAGTATACATTGATTTTTTTTTTTACGTATAATGAAAATAAACTACAATTTTCGCAATACTTTGTCTTAATATTTTTTAGTTGAATTAATTATACTTTCAGCAGAAGCTACTAACCATAGTAAAATGATAATTTCGTACATATGTGCAGATAAAAAGATCTGGGTATGGGTAATTGACATTCTGACTGAAAAATATACCATTAAACATAATAGTCATATTTCCCATACTCAAAAAAGTGCTAAAAGTAGATAAATAAAATTAGATAAAATTAATTATTTTTGAAATTTATTTTCAATATTTCTGCAAAAACAAGAGCAAATAGCTCGATATTACTGTCAACACTAACTTTGATTTATTTCTACTTATTGCATGCACTTTGAACTATCTAGCGATAGTAAAACTGCTAAAATCGAGAGAGATGGTTTTAACTGTCTACCTTCTCACTACTTTCTCTTTCTCTACATATTTTATTGATTTGTTAATAATTATATTTTTTTAAATGTTCTGTGTGTAATTTTCATTTTACGTTTAAATTAATTTTTTTCTAACTGATAAACTACAAAAGACAATGCAGTTTGGCAGGAAATACCGTTGCAGTCACTGTATCCGTTGTAATTTTTTTTTTTTAATTATATAAGTCACTGCTAAATTTTCATCGTCATCGTTACTATTGATGGTAATGTAATTTTTGTATTTTCTTGTATATAGAAACTTTATTAAAGCAGACAGATTTAGACGAAGAGACTGAAAATCGCATTCTTTATCACGAAGCACGTCTGGCTTGGGTGAGAGGGGATGAAGATTTGGCTCGTTTTAATCTCCGTTCTCTAATAAATAAAGATGAAAATTCAATAAACTCAAATTTGCTTGCTCACGCTTTACGCGTCTACGGTAATTGGATAGCTGAGAATAAGTCTGAAAATCCTCAGGTAACTTGCAATATTCATCCAAACCATGTAATAAGGCACAGTTTATTTATTTAGTTGGTTTACTTAATTTTTTTCGCCCCAGGTCATCATTTCTAAATACTACGATGAAGCGGTTAACCTATACAAATCGATGCCTAATTGCAGTCCAGATGATTTGAGTGACTCTTGCAAAGCTCGTGCTGCTTTAGCTCAATTTGCACATGAGCAATACATAATGATAACAGAATACTTACAATCACCGCAATTCGAAAGTCTAAGAGAATGTATTTATCATTCACGCAGTGTTGCGGAAAAAAAGGTGAAATCTACTGATCAAGACGTGGAACGTGCACTAAAAATCAGTTCGAGGCAGACTCAGAATGATTTCAATGAAATGCAAAACATATTTAAAGACAGGAATTCATTTTTATCAATAGCAATCAGGTAAGAGTACATAAATTTCAACAGAAAAGACAATATGTGTTGTTCACTTTGCGTAATAATGTTCATTTTCAGTCACTACTTAAGTACCCTACAAGACAGTGATGAACATGATCTTCTTATATTCCGCCTCGTCTCGCTTTGGTTGGACAATATGCATAATGAAGAGTTAAACAAACTTTTCGATTGTCATTTGCTTCAAATTCCATCGTACAAATTCGTGCCGTTAGTGCCGCAACTCGCACCTCACATGAGCAACGTACTTGATACATTTAGCCAAAAGATATCACTAATTCTTGAACGCTGTGCCAAGGATCATCCCCATCACACGTTACCAGTTTTGTTGGCTTTAAAAAATCTGTATAACGATTCTAAGTATTGTGAAAAAAAAATTATGACTCATGAACCACGAGTTATTGGTACTCAACAACTTATTCAAAAGCTTGGATCCACACATATACGACCGATCATACAAGAGATGGATAAACTGTCAGACGCATTAGTTCAACTAGCTTATTTTGATGTGGATAAGAAAAAGGGTAAGTCATTGTTTATTGCTGTTGCATAACCTTGAGTCAATAATTTTTATCATAAAATATTTACCTATTAAAATCTTGAATAAGTATATTTTCTCGAATAGTCGCGTTCCACAATACTGATTTCTCCAAAGTCCACGTTAAGTTAAAAAAAAAATGAGTAAATAAAGTAGTTTGTTTATTTAAAGCAGTGTTGCGTAAAACGATAAAAATTGATCTCACAATTTTGATATCGACGTTCACACGACTCTTACACACTACGATTATATTTTCGATACGTATTATATAAAATGTTCTTTGTTTAAGTTAGGTTTAATTAGGTTTAATCCTATCTTAAAAGATTGATTTTCATGTGACTGAAGCCTTTTTATTGATTGTGTGATTGGTTAATACTGATCAAGTGCCTTATTTGGCTTAAAAAAATCAAATTATTTGAATTTTAATAACATGAAATGAAATAAGTTTACACTGTGGCAATGATCTAAAATGATAATATTTTACTTGATTGTCCTTTTAAAAGAGATAAGTAGACAAAAAGTTGTATTTGCTTTAAGACTAAACAATAAAAAGTATAAATAGATCTGAAAATAACCACATAAAAGTACAGCCACGATGATTTAGATCGCGTGAAGCGCGTCTAACGAAAAATGAGCTTAAAAAGAGCAGTGTTCCCATTTTAAGAATGAAGTTTTGGATTCTAGGCGTTATAATCCGTTGATGCACAATGCTCTTTTGGCAATAAAACATACGGCTATTAACAGAATTGCTGAAATCGTTTTTGCGTGTTCTAGTCTGCTTGTGCTGTATAACTTGCTCATTGCACATAGCGAATAATCATGCAGACGATTAACTGAAAATCTGCTAACGAAAAAGGTGCATAAGCTAAACATTCGGAACGAATATTATTTTTATCTTAAACATTAACTGTCGGATCAAGAAGTTATAAATATAAAATAATGGGCACTCTCAGTTTTTATGAGCTGAAGATTTTTGAAGTTTGTCATTTTAGACCATGGTTAATTAAATATTTATTCACGCTTTTCATTCCCGGGTCCTCTATTATATTTAACCTTGAAAACTAAATTATCACGTGTAAACATTTCAACACGTATACTTAATTTTAATACACAAATTTTCAGCTATGATCGCAAACTGCCCGATACCTAAGAAATTGAGTCTACATGAAGTTAAAAATTTTCAATACTCCATGGTACTTACATTACCCATCGATGTAAGAAAAGATGGAAACTATTCGGATATTATAAGTACACGGAAGTACGAAGATAATTACAGTAATGTTGGTGGAATAAACGCTCCTAAAAAGATTATATGTATTGGAACTGACGGAATCCGAAGACCTCAATTAGTGAAGGTACTTTTACTCATGAATCAAATTTTTACTAAAATTTATAGCAGTTAAATGTACAATTTATTTTTGTATTCACCAAAAGATAAAAAGTCTATAAAAACTTTAATGTAAATTTTAAAGTACGTATTTGCTCCATCAAAAAAACAGCAACCGCGAAGGAGTTCAGTATTAAAAGCAGTCATAATTATATTACAGGAATTAATAAACTTTTCATGAATTTTGATCGGGTACACGTATATAGACTAAGTATTTAATTATTTATAACTTTTTTCATCCAATGATTATTTTTTATCATATTTTTAAATGACATGCCATTCATTACAATTTTCACTCCTTCATTATTTGCTGAAAACTAGCTATATAAATTTGAAGTGTATATGTATTCTTCGACTCGGGTAGTAATCCCTACGTAATTATAGCACACACTGTAACTTCTTCATTATGCAATTTCAAATCAATCCTTGAAACAGTTTTTTGAAATACATTTTACTCAGTTACTATTTGTAAAATTTGAATTTAGTTCTATTGCTAAAGTGATATTATAAATTATAAAAATTTTAAACTTTAAAAAAGTAATGTTGAATTGTTTGTAGCAGTAAAGTAAAGGTTTTTGAAAAGTATACATAATTTTTTTCACATAAAATAGAAAAATTAATATCTGAAAAAATCAGTATAAATCCTATATCTGTCTGAATTAAGTTTTTACTACTTAAAAATGTAGTTTTTAATGTATAAAATTGTGTGTAAATCCTTAAATTATTTAGATTAGTTTGGTCCTTTATAGTCTTTGAATTTGAAAGTGATTAATTATTGAAAAGAAATTTTTTTCTTATAGTGGGTTTGTGCACACTATGAAATTTGTTCATATCAAGGTAGGTTTTGCAGATGAGAGNTCTAGCTGTTTAAACCCAAAATAAGGAGAAGAGCCCCCAAGCTTGTACTTTGAGGAATCAATCGAGCCTAAACTCAATGCAATCCGTTACAAATTGAGAAAGAAAAGTTACATTTCCTGATCATGAAAGAGTGTATTAGTGTACATAATGCATTTAGTTATCCGAAATTTTGATTTGGGCCTCTAAAATAAAAAAGTCAACGCAGCTCTTCCCATAATTTTTCAATTATTGAGTTTTAAAAAATTTATTTTTATCTTAAACGGCATTATATAACTTATAAATCTACGTATGTTGCGTAAGTTTATATGTTGAACTGTATATTTTCAAAAACTATAATGAAAGGACCGGTGTTTGTCTTTTTATTTTAGAGGCTCTGTCAAGGTTTCAGTTAATTCAATTCATTAGTTTTTGATAAAGGTTACATTTCAGATTATGCACACTGACACACTCTTTCATGATCAGGAAATGTAACTTTTCTCTCTCAATTCGTAACGGATTGCATTGAATTTGGGCTCGATTGATTCCTTAAAGTGCCAGCTTGGGGGTTCTTCTCCTTATTTCGGGCTTAAACAGCTAGGTAATTAGTTATTAACCATAATTTCTTACAATAGAGAAGTTGGTAAAGTAGAAACTCCGGCAGATAATATACTGAATGCCCTTAAGTGAGTTTACTTTCTCGTTTGAAAAAAATAGAATTTAAAAAAGAACTTTATTATGCATGACAAAATGTACAGGAAACATAAATTTTTTTATTTTAGCAATTAAATTTAACTTAGATTCCTATGTTATTACTGCAGTTAAAAATAGTAGTTTTCGTCACACAATCGCCATCGCCACCGGGGCTACTTCTTGAGTCTGGACCCGAGGGACCATAGGGTAGCCTCGGTTAAATTGCGCTTATGTGAGGAACGCTACTTTTTTTTCCAAGATTGCAGTAAACGCTTTCAGGTTTTTTTATTATTTTTGTTACGTATTTAATTTGTGTTAGTTTAAGTACGTAACTAAGTTGTACATTGTTAATGTGTAGAATTAATTTAAAATTTTCTTTATAAAGACTACTAGCCAAAAATGTATTTGATTTAAGATAGCGTGAATTAAAATTATGCGTAATGTATAGAATATTTCATACTTTTACGGCGACCCTAATACGAGTAACAAACGGTTTCATTGAAAACAAATTTTTTCTTTCCAGTTGCAATAATTGAAAAACATAAGTTTTTAAAATTATTACTTATTTATTAATATTTTTACTTATTTATTAAAACTGACGTATATATAAAGAGTTTTAAGATAAATAATTAACTTTTAAGACGAATAATTAAGATTTAAAAAATAATACCTTAAAAAAACCGAAAAAGTTTTCATTTTCGTAATCTTACTTGTGCACAAACCACAAACCACATCTCTATTACTATTTATTTTTTATTCTAGGGTGCCAAGAATAATGCACCTTTGAGATTAAATGTTTTCCGTGACTGTTGTGAAAATTTGCGACCAGCATTCCATCATTTCTTGCTTGAAAATTATTTATCGCCCGAGACGTGGTTTGAACGCCGATTGGCTTACACACGAAGGTAAATTCTCTGTTTTATTTAAAGTTATTTCTACATTAGTTTTTATACTATTAAAACCTTTATAGCGTGGCAACAACATCGATAATTGGATACATTCTTGGTCTTGGAGATAGGCACGTTTCAAATATTTTGATTGATAAAACAACAGCGGAAGTTATTCATATAGATTTTGGTATTTAAACTTATTCTACATGTCATAAATTTATTACAAATATAAATTAACGTTGTTAATATTATCTATAAAGGTATAGCATTTGAACAAGGTAAAGTTTTACCAACACCAGAAACAGTTCCATTTAGACTGACAAGAGATATCGAAGTGGCCATGGGAGTTTCAGGAATAGAAGGAACAATGAGACGGTGTTGTGAAGAAACTATGTCTGTTTTACGAAAACAAAGAGAAATTATTGTGACTTTATTAAGGGTTTTATTGTACGATCCACTTTATTCGTGGGCTATCACCCCAGCCAAAGCTGCCACATATCAAAGCGAAAATTCTTCTAGACTGAGTGAAAGCAGTAGTCCAGGTAATTAATTTACTATTCTAAAACTGTATTACTATGCTAATTCTATTTATTAATCTACGTACATACAACTATTAAAAATACGAAATACATGTACGATTTGACAAATCCATAAAAGTGAAAACACTAAGTTCAAGCACATGAGATCCCTACGGTCTGCAAACTAAACATAAATAGCGAAAGTACTGTAGCAGAGAAAAAGAGAAAAACGGCGTTGCATCGACAAAAATTTACTACCCGTGATCTCTTGATGTCAGAGTGATGGAGATATTATCACCCGATCGGAAAGTTAGTTCGGTAGGCCCAAAGTTGGCTACCAAGGTAGGGCATACCTGTGTCATTTACGCGGCGCAAGCATGGCGCTACCTTGGGCCAAGGCTTCTATCTTCTATCTAACCTTTTTTTGACATTATGAAACTGCGAACAAATATTTCGGAGCAGTGTATTTATAAAAACGTCTAAAAGTTAGTTGTGGTGATAAACTATTGAAAAGGAGTGTGAAACTAAAACGCTCTTTATACTTAACGAGGTTGACTACCTTAAGCAATTGACAGTCATTTTTCAACTAGAACCCGTAAAGAACTTAAATAATTTATAAAAAAAATTTATGTAAAATTTCAACTACTCTGGGTAATAATGAAACGAAAAATTAATAAAATAAACTTTGTGAATTTTATATGCGTTCTTATAGGAGATCCCTTCTCCAAATGCAGTAAACCTCCTTAACAAACTAAAGAATGAAAAAACATTTTTTTCAAAAGCTGAAAAACTAAATAATTTAAGTGCAGTTAATAAGTAAGGAGCCATGTCATAAAAATAATCAATTCTATAATTATATGACATACAAGTCTGTTATTTATTACAAAAGTCTGTGATGTGATAGTATTTAAACTAAATAAAGCAATTAAAGTATATTAGATTGTTTAAACCTCATTGTAATTCTTTTCTTTAACACATAATCCATTCTTTAAGTTAGCCACACTTATAGGTTAATTTGGCAACCAAGGTAGGGCCGACCTAATGCCGCCTAAATGTCTAATGTTGAAGTCCTATTTATGCCAAGGTTAGTCGAAGGTAGGGTAAGTCGGCCGCCAAGTTAGGCCCTACCTAACACCCTCTTAAGCTTTCCGATCGGGTACATAAGTAAGTTCACTCTACCCTATATTGTCATCACTTACAGTAACAGTGTGTCAGGGACGCCATTTTTTTCTTAGCTATAGTATGATATCTATGCTGAGTTTGCTGACCGTAAGGACTTTATACTTTATAGTATATGTGTAAAATATTTCCGAACGTGTACTACATGCATTTAAATACTTTTTTATCACTGAAAAACTATGTATGACTTAAGTATGTACTACTAATAGGCACTAAGTTAAAAACATACATTTGAAATACCATTTTCAGACTTAATGATAATATGTTGTATAATAAATCCAATTTTTAATTTAACTTAAACATTCATCTTGAACTTTATATTGTCACGTTTTGAATTTGACATTTCGTAGATCTTTTAAATGCGTTTTTTGAAATACCAACACTCTGCATCAAAAATTATCAAGTACAAAATAAACAAAGTAATAAAAATAAGTAGTAGATACATGCTTTGCTCAAGGTTTAACCTGAAAAATAATCGATACGTATTTTTTCTTTTTTCTTACAAATAAACGTTAAAAAAGATATACTGCCTAAAAATTATGGTATTTTTAAAGCTACAGAAAACACCATATATATGTGACATTGTAAAGTATACATTACACATAAATGTTCTATAATTACATTCGAAAAAAATGAGCCCAGAAACATAAGAACAATTAAAAATTTTCAAGGTGGTTCGCCAATAAACCTGAATGTCTCATGAACTGGATGAAATTTGGAGAGGTTATAGAAGTCCCAATGTATCTACACTTAAAATTTTTAGACCAGCTTAGCGTGGAAAATTTTGCGTAAAAGCTCTACGAAAATTATACTTACAAGCCGGTTGATATACGAATGGTAATCGATTTTTACCAAACCGGATAAATACATCCATAAAAACGCTCATGACAGTATAACAAAAATGACAGATTTTTAGCTAAGATCACAAGCTTTCTCCTCGTACTTAAAAAGTTGGGGTTTAGCTTGGATTTTACTAGGACATTTAATGGAAAGGAGGATTTTTTGTTGATTTTTCCGTTTTTTTACCTATATACAGTTATATAGTACTTCATACGTTACGTTTCTTGCGCATGCGTACAACAGCTCAAGAAAAATTACCTGTTAAGTGACAGTATGTCTTTGTTATATTATAGGTTATACGACATCATTGACCGTATATGTAGACCAATCGTTCCGACAGATATAAGCCCACTGGCGTAGCACCTTAAAGATACAGCGTTTTGAAAAAAGTATCGATAACGGTTACATACACAACGAGTACATACATAGCTATAAAAAATAGAACATCTTCAAGGGGTTATATCTTACAAAGTTTTTAATTAAAAACAAAAATACGTGTCGATTATATTTCAAAATTCTATAAAACGGACTGAATGAAATTTTTATGTAAAATGCTAATTAAAACTGCGAAAAATCAATTGTCCGTGCATTTTAAATGATAAGTACGTCTATAAAATGTCGAGAAAAATCGAATGGGTAAATAGAAAGTTATTAATAATACAAGCTGATGAAAATTACTTGATTTTGAGAATTAAAAAATGTATAACTTTTTTTAAGCAGCAGTTTACGGGAAAATACAAGATACCTACCTTTTCTTAAAATGGGATAAATGATAAACCTAGCTCGTGAACTCTGCCTTGGCAAAGATTTACTTTTACTGCTATATGTGCGTCTCTTATTGATCGATTGCAAATTCATGTATATGATTTGTTAAGGCTTATTTATAATAATTCTGTATGGTGTGTGACGTTTTTGATTGTCCACACCATTCAGCCTAAAAGTTTTTGCTTATTGTTTTCAATCTTTGCATTAACTAAAAAATATTGAAATCAATTGTGACATATAGATATATTTGACGCATAATATCTTGTTGTCTTGTATTGGTACCTGTTGGTGTTTATTGTCCTTAACAGCAACTTTATAATTACTTTTCTTGGAATAATTATACTGAGCCAGACTAAAGTTTCTCAAATTTTACTATGAGGGCGCTATCCTAAAATTATGCCTAAAGCCCATAATCTTGTACCTTGTGCAAACATTACCTGAGCAGGTATTCATGTTAATTCATTTATTTTTTCAATTTTAATTTAGCTAAAAGTTAGTATCAAACGTAAACTTTCCAAAAAATCTTAAGCTCGTTAATGTAGTATTTTTGTCTCATTGGTGTCCAATTGGTTACCACATACCTACAGATTTCGCTAATGAACGTGGTCAAATTATTTTCTAAATCATTAAGGCATATAGTATAACTGCCTCTTCCCCTAATGGAATTTCCATTAGGAGTTCATTTAACACTTTTTATGTCATGCTTCATTCATATGTCGGACTGGCAGTCGTTTACACGCTGTTTAATTTAATAAGGACAACTGCGTGTATCGATAATAGAAGTAATTTTTTCGTTGAAAAAACTTTCAGACTGGTAAAATTATTTTGAAANAAAAATAATACCTTAAAAAAACCGAAAAAGTTTTCATTTTCGTAATCTTACTTGTGCACAAACCACAAACCACATCTCTATTACTATTTATTTTTTATTCTAGGGTGCCAAGAATAATGCACCTTTGAGATTAAATGTTTTCCGTGACTGTTGTGAAAATTTGCGACCAGCATTCCATCATTTCTTGCTTGAAAATTATTTATCGCCCGAGACGTGGTTTGAACGCCGATTGGCTTACACACGAAGGTAAATTCTCTGTTTTATTTAAAGTTATTTCTACATTAGTTTTTATACTATTAAAACCTTTATAGCGTGGCAACAACATCGATAATTGGATACATTCTTGGTCTTGGAGATAGGCACGTTTCAAATATTTTGATTGATAAAACAACAGCGGAAGTTATTCATATAGATTTTGGTATTTAAACTTATTCTACATGTCATAAATTTATTACAAATATAAATTAACGTTGTTAATATTATCTATAAAGGTATAGCATTTGAACAAGGTAAAGTTTTACCAACACCAGAAACAGTTCCATTTAGACTGACAAGAGATATCGAAGTGGCCATGGGAGTTTCAGGAATAGAAGGAACAATGAGACGGTGTTGTGAAGAAACTATGTCTGTTTTACGAAAACAAAGAGAAATTATTGTGACTTTATTAAGGGTTTTATTGTACGATCCACTTTATTCGTGGGCTATCACCCCAGCCAAAGCTGCCACATATCAAAGCGAAAATTCTTCTAGACTGAGTGAAAGCAGTAGTCCAGGTAATTAATTTACTATTCTAAAACTGTATTACTATGCTAATTCTATTTATTAATCTACGTACATACAACTATTAAAAATACGAAATACATGTACGATTTGACAAATCCATAAAAGTGAAAACACTAAGTTCAAGCACATGAGATCCCTACGGTCTGCAAACTAAACATAAATAGCGAAAGTACTGTAGCAGAGAAAAAGAGAAAAACGGCGTTGCATCGACAAAAATTTACTACCCGTGATCTCTTGATGTCAGAGTGATGGAGATATTATCACCCGATCGGAAAGTTAGTTCGGTAGGCCCAAAGTTGGCTACCAAGGTAGGGCATACCTGTGTCATTTACGCGGCGCAAGCATGGCGCTACCTTGGGCCAAGGCTTCTATCTTCTATCTAACCTTTTTTTGACATTATGAAACTGCGAACAAATATTTCGGAGCAGTGTATTTATAAAAACGTCTAAAAGTTAGTTGTGGTGATAAACTATTGAAAAGGAGTGTGAAACTAAAACGCTCTTTATACTTAACGAGGTTGACTACCTTAAGCAATTGACATTCATTTTTCAACTAGAACCCGTAAAGAACTTAAATAATTTATAAAAAAAATTTATGTAAAATTTCAACTACTCTGGGTAATAATGAAACGAAAAATTAATAAAATAAACTTTGTGAATTTTATATGCGTTCTTATAGGAGATCCCTTCTCCAAATGCAGTAAACCTCCTTAACAAACTAAAGAATGAAAAAACATTTTTTTCAAAAGCTAAAAAACTAAATAATTTAAGTGCAGTTAATAACTAAGGAGAGCAGTAAAGTAAAGGTTTTTGAAAAGTATACATAATTTTTTTCACATAAAATAGAAAAATTAATATCTGAAAAAATCAGTATAAATCCTATATCTGTCTGAATTAAGTTTTTACTACTTAAAAATGTAGTTTTTAATGTATAAAATTGTGTGTAAATCCTTAAATTATTTAGATTAGTTTGGTCCTTTATAGTCTTTGAATTTGAAAGTGATTAATTATTGAAAAGAAATTTTTTTCTTATAGTGGGTTTGTGCACACTATGAAATTTGTTCATATCAAGGTAGGTTTTGCAGATGAGAGATTGATCCAAACAAAAATGCTTAAACAAGAAAGTAAATGATGATTACTTTGCAAGTATTCTCGTATTTAGCAATATAATATTCGCTGTGTACATCAATCTTAAACTAGCTTCTTTTGGAACGTCACTGTAAATACATTTTTTAAATTCAATTTTCATGTATTTTAAACAGTTTGAATAAATTTTATTAACGGATTATTTTGACTGTCAAATAATCCATTTAAAAAAGAAAAAAAATTTTTATGGATAAAAAAAATGTTCAATTTCAAAAAATTTTCAATACTGTGAATACTCTGTTCAGCTGTCGAAGACACGGTAAATTTTAATTAAAAATGTTTCAACACTCACGCACAATAGAAAGCTATGTAATTATTGTTATTCAGTTTCGCCAGTTTTTTTATCGGTGGCGCTATTTCAAAGTGCCGCACACAGCGAATAACCAAAAAGCTGAAAACTGTTAGAATTATAGATTCTCTGAATTTTTTTCTTTTACTTAACTTCCAAACACTTAAGTACTAGTGAATTGAATATCCGTTTCTTTGTTCTCGCAGTATAAAATAATTTCATACAGATCATTTAAAATAAAGCAGTCACTGTATCCGTTGTAATTTTTTTTTTTTAATTATATAAGTCACTGCTAAATTTTCATCGTCATCGTTACTATTGATGGTAATGTAATTTTTGTATTTTCTTGTATATAGAAACTTTATTAAAGCAGACAGATTTAGACGAAGAGACTGAAAATCGCATTCTTTATCACGAAGCACGTCTGGCTTGGGTGAGAGGGGATGAAGATTTGGCTCGTTTTAATCTCCGTTCTCTAATAAATAAAGATGAAAATTCAATAAACTCAAATTTGCTTGCTCACGCTTTACGCGTCTACGGTAATTGGATAGCTGAGAATAAGTCTGAAAATCCTCAGGTAACTTGCAATATTCATCCAAACCATGTAATAAGGCACAGTTTATTTATTTAGTTGGTTTACTTAATTTTTTTCGCCCCAGGTCATCATTTCTAAATACNTCTACAACTAAAATTTTTAGACCAGCTTAGCGTGGAAAATTTTGCGTAAAAGCTCTACGAAAATTATACTTACAAGCCGGTTGATATACGAATGGTAATCGATTTTTACCAAACCGGATAAATACATCCATAAAAACGCTCATGACAGTATAACAAAAATGACAGATTTTTAGCTAAGATCACAAGCTTTCTCCTCGTACTTAAAAAGTTGGGGTTTAGCTTGGATTTTACTAGGACATTTAATGGAAAGGAGGATTTTTTGTTGATTTTTCCGTTTTTTTACCTATATACAGTTATATAGTACTTCATACGTTACGTTTCTTGCGCATGCGTACAACAGCTCAAGAAAAATTACCTGTTAAGTGACAGTATGTCTTTGTTATATTATAGGTTATACGACATCATTGACCGTATATGTAGACCAATCGTTCCGACAGATATAAGCCCACTGGCGTAGCACCTTAAAGATACAGCGTTTTGAAAAAAGTATCGATAACGGTTACATACACAACGAGTACATACATAGCTATAAAAAATAGAACATCTTCAAGGGGTTATATCTTACAAAGTTTTTAATTAAAAACAAAAATACGTGTCGATTATATTTCAAAATTCTATAAAACGGACAAAATGAAATTTTTATGTAAAATGCTAATTAAAACTGCGAAAAATCAATTGTCCGTGCATTTTAAATAATAAGTACGTCTATAAAACGTCGAGAAAAATCGAATGGGTAAATAGAAAGTTATTAATAATACAAGCTGATGAAAATTACTTGATTTCGAGAATTAAAAAATGTATACCTTTTTTTAAGCAGCAGTTTACGGGAAAATACAAGATACCTACCTTTTCTTAAAATGGGATAAATGATAAACCTAGCTCGTGAACTCTGCCTTGGCAAAGATTTACTTTTACTGCTATATGTGCGTCTCTTATTGATCGATTGCAAATTCATGTATATGATTTTGTAAGTCTTATTTATAATTATTCTGTATGCTGTGTTACGTTTTTGATTGTCCACACCATTCAGCCTAAAAGTTTTTGCTTATTGTTTTCAATCTTTGCATTAACTAAAAAATATTGAAATTAATTGTGACATATAGATATATTTGACGCATAATATCTTGCTGTTTTCTATTGGCACCTGTTGGTGTTTATTGTCCTTAACAGCAACTTTATAATAACTTCTCTTGGAATAATTATACTGAGCCAGGCTAAAGTTTCTCCAATTTTACGATGAGAGCGCTATCCTAAAATTATGCCTAAAGCCCATAAACTTGTACCTTGTGCAAACATTACCGGAGCAGGTATTCATGTTAATTCATTTATTTTTTCAATTTTAATTTAGCTAAAAGTTAGTATCAAACGTAAACTTTCCAAAAAATCTTAAGCTCGTTAATGTAGTATTTTTGTCTCATTGGTGTCCAATTGGTTACCACATACCTACAGATTTCGCTAATGAACGTGGTCAAATTATTTTCTAAATCATTAAGGCATATAGTATAATTGCCTCTTCCCCTAATGGAATTTTCATTAAGAGTTCATTTTACATTTTTTTTTGTCATGCTTCATTCATATGTCGGACTGGCAGTCGTTAACACGCTGTTTAATTCAATAAGGACAACTGCGTGTATCGATAATAGAAGTAATTTTTTCGTTGAAAAAACTTTCGGACTGGTAAAATTATTTTGAAAACTATCTGAATAAACTTAAAGCAATTTATTGAACCTAATTGAAATAGAGGACATTTTTTGTCTTGAAAATTATTTTTCAAATATTTTTTTTAAATTGTTCTACGTATATAACACTATTGATTTTGAAATCCATTTGACCCTGGGCTTTTATGACTTAATGAATAGTGGAAATTAATTTTACTTTTAATTTATATTGGAAAAAAATTTGACTAAGCGTAATTTTTCTAGTGATACATTAAAAGTATTATTTATATTCACTTTTGTAAAATAAATTATGATCTGAATTATGGTTCATATAGTAAATTTTGAAACTTGACATAGTTATGATGTGATAGTATTTAAACTAAATAAAGCAATTAAAGTATATTAGATTGTTTAAACCTCATTGTAATTCTTTTCTTTAACACATAATCCATTCTTTAAGTTAGCCACACTTATAGGTTAATTTGGCAACCAAGGTAGGGCCGACCTAATGCCGCCTAAATGTCTAATGTTAAAGTCCCATTTATGCCAAGGTTGGTCGAAGGTCGGGTAAGTTGGCCGCCAAGTTAGGCCCTACCTAACACCCTCTTAAGCTTTCCGATCGGGTACATAAGTAAGTTCACTCTACCCTATATTGTCATCACTTACAGTAACAGTGTGTCAGGGACGCCATTTTTTTCTTAGCTATAGTATGATATCTATGCTGAGTTTGCTGACCGTAAGGACTTTATACTTTATAGTATATGTGTAAAATATTTCCGAACGTGTACTACATGCATTTAAATACTTTTTTATCACTGAAAAACTATGTATGACTTAAGTATGTACTACTAATAGGCACTAAGTTAAAAACATACATTTGAAATACCATTTTCAGACTTAATGATAATATGTTGTATAATAAATCCAATTTTTAATTTAACTTAAACATTCATCTTGAACTTTATATTGTCACGTTTTGAATTTGACATTTCGTAGATCTTTTAAATGCGTTTTTTGAAATACCAACACTCTGCATCAAAAATCATTAAGTACAAAATTAACAAAGTAATAAAAAAAAGTAGTAGATACATGCTTTGCTCAAGGTTTAACCTGAAAAATAATCGATACGTATTTTTTCTTTTTTCTTACAAATAAACGTTAAAAAAGATATACTGCCTAAAAATTATGGTATTTTTAAAGCTACAGAAAACACCATATATATGTGACATTGTAAAGTATACATTACACATAAATGTTCTATAATTACATTCGAAAAAAATGAGCCCAGAAACATAAGAACAATTAAAAATTTTCAAGGTGGTTCGCCAATAAACCTGAATGTCTCATGAACTGGATGAAATTTGGAGAGGTTATAGAAGTCCCAATGTATCTACACTTAAAATTTTTAGACCAGCTTAGCGTGGAAAATTTTGCGTAAAAGCTCTACGAAAATTATACTTACAAGCCGGTTGATATACGAATGGTAATCGATTTTTACCAAACCGGATAAATACATCCATAAAAACGCTCATGACAGTATAACAAAAATGACAGATTTTTAGCTAAGATCACAAGCTTTCTCCTCGTACTTAAAAAGTTGGGGTTTAGCTTGGATTTTACTAGGACATTTAATGGAAAGGAGGATTTTTTGTTGATTTTTCCGTTTTTTTACCTATATACAGTTATATAGTACTTCATACGTTACGTTTCTTGCGCATGCGTACAACAGCTCAAGAAAAATTACCTGTTAAGTGACAGTATGTCTTTGTTATATTATAGGTTATACGACATCATTGACCATATGTAGACCAATCGTTCCGACAGATATAAGCCCACTGGCGAAGCACCTTAAAGATACAGCGTTTTGAAAAAAGTATCGATAACGGTTACATACACAAGGAGTACATACATAGCTATAAAAAATAGAACATCTTCAAGGGGTTATATCTTACAAAGTTTTTAATTAAAAACAAAAATACGTGTCGATTATATTTCAAAATTCTATAAAACGGACTGAATGAAATTTTTATGTAAAATGCTAATTAAAACTGCGAAAAATCAATTGTCCGTGCATTTTAAATAATAAGTACGTCTATAAAACGTCGAGAAAAATCGAATGGGTAAATAGAAAGTTATTAATAATACAAGCTGATGAAAATTACTTGATTTCGAGAATTAAAAAATGTATACCTTTTTTTAAGCAGCAGTTTACGGGAAAATACAAGATACCTACCTTTTCTTAAAATGGGATAAATGATAAACCTAGCTCGTGAACTCTGCCTTGGCAAAGATTTACTTTTACTGCTATATGTGCGTCTCTTATTGATCGATTGCAAATTCATGTATATGATTTTGTAAGTCTTATTTATAATTATTCTGTATGCTGTGTTACGTTTTTGATTGTCCACACCATTCAGCCTAAAAGTTTTTGCTTATTGTTTTCAATCTTTGCATTAACTAAAAAATATTGAAATTAATTGTGACATATAGATATATTTGACGCATAATATCTTGCTGTTTTCTATTGGCACCTGTTGGTGTTTNTATTTTAATAAATAAAGTAATGTACATTAGTAATGTCTAATATAATTTAAAAAATACGTGGAAGTAGCATGTGGGGGAAGGTAGTTAGTAGTGGAAATTGTAAGGGGGGAGTCCCTCTTTTTTTTCTATTTGCACTTTCTAAAGCATTAAATGGTACTTAGATAACCCAAAAAATCCAATTTTTGATCCGTTCTGGATCTTTTGTGCATAGAGATGGAACCATCCCGGATCAGACGCTGAGTAAAAATTTGTCTGAGGCTCAATTCACTAAATTTTTCTGCCACTCAACAAGGGAGAAAATTCTTTTTCACGTGCGAGATCATGAATTCAAAAAGTTTCGACCAATCAGAGGACCTCTTTAGCCCTATGTAAGTCCTTTGATTAGTCAGAATTTCGTCACAAAGCATCTTCTCCCGAAATGAGAAGACTGATAAAGTTAGTGAATTAGGCTCCTACTACGCTTGTGCTCCTAAAGTAAATGTTGCCCTGTATACGTTTTTTATTTTTTTTTTATTTAATCATTGATAACTTACCAAAATAGATTCGGTACAAAAAAGAACTGCAGTAAATCCATGGAGGATGAAATATACATTAGAAAAAGTAAAAAGTTCAAAGAATAGCCGATATAAAATTCAGAATAGAACAATCGGAAATGAGGTTATTGGTGCGAATAAGCAAGAATGTCATAAAACATAGGAGTCATGCGGAGTAAAAAAAAAAGATATTTTACAAAAAATTGAAAGTTGAACATAATTTTAAGGAGGTTTTGACAAAGTAATTTTTCCTCTAACTTGGCAGTAAAAAGCAGA